CAGAATATGATTATAAATCGTAAATTTCTACCGAAATTGAACCTCGTATATTCTTGTTCCTCAAAGCGGAGCGTTGACACTCTGACATTATGGTATGTCTGAGATTTTACATTATTTTTTAATACTCCGTATTATATTACACCTGTTTTAGAGTATTTATTCAGTTTGATTTTTGTGGGTCAAAATAGATACCGATTAAAGATAAATTAGATATAAACCCTGTATACACCCTGTAGGTATATGAGTGCAAAAATAATTTCATTAAATCTATCTTGTGGAAACTTTCTCGAATATATATCAATGAATTAATTTGTAACACAAATTTAATGTAATTGCTCATTAAATTTAATTCAATTTAATAATTTAATTCGAATTGGACAAATACTTATAATCTTTCCGTCCAGATTTAATATTCACACTTCACTTTTCTTGATCTAAGTTTCACCTTTATACACGAACAAAATACATTGTATTTTGATAAAAATGTAATATCTATAGTTTTATAATTAAATAAAATTTTGAAATATTAATTTTTATATACATAAATATTAATATTAATGATCAATATACTACATTAGAGACCATAACAAGTTAAATGAGGAAGATTAAATTCAGGGGAGAATATTAAAACACAATATTTTAGTCCAAATTTAATAGTATTTCTTTCCGTAAGTCAATGGTAAAGGTGTGACCGGTTGTAAAGAGCCCCCCCATATGAGAGAGCATCCTCTTTGCCTAAAAGATGAAAAGTGGGGAAAATGGTTGAGTCCTTTTCACGCAAATAAATCCCTTTTCTTTTTCCCCCCTCTCAACACTATAAGAACCCACCCCCACACTCCCTACTCTCTACCCCATCTTTTCCCATTATTCTCCCCCCCTTTCCCTCCCCTTTCTTCCTTTCATTCTATTCAATCTTTCTCCCTCTTCCTTTTCTCATTGAGTTGGATGGAGAAGTTGAATATTGTGAAGAATGGAGTTGTGATTCGCTTGCCTCCCGGGTTCCGGTTCCACCCCACGGACGAGGAGCTCGTAGGACAGTACCTTAAATGCAAGGTCCTACGACGCCCTCTGCCTGCCTCCATCATTCCCGAGATCGATATCTGCAAATTCGATCCCTGGGACTTGCCAGGTCAGTCAGCTTCTCTCAAAATAACTAATTCAACCAAAGGCTCAAGCTTATAGTTGCCAGGTCATTTCCTGCTTAAGTTCTAAGTTCTGACCCTGAAAGAAAATTTATGTGAACAGGTGATTTGGAGAAGGAAAGGTATTTCTTTAGCACAAGAGAGGTGAAGTATGCGAATGGGAGGAGAACAAACAGGGCCACCGGCTCCGGCTACTGGAAGGCCACCGGACTGGACAAGCAAATTCTGAGCGGCAGCACGAAGGCGGCGGTCGGGACGAAGAAGACCCTGGTTTTCTACCACGGGAAGCCGCCGCGTGGGACCCGAACCGATTGGGTAATGCACGAGTATAGCCTCTGCAGTAGTGCTGCAGAAACCACACCCAAGAACTTCTTGCCACAGGTTAATTGAAACCCCAATCTTTGCGTTAAAAAAAAACCGAGTAAATTCCATTAGAGACTAAATATGAAAAATCACATGTTATAAGAGATTTTTTATGGAAGTAACTCTAAAAAATTTATAAAAAGTTCTTGAGTTGAACTAACTTAAAAAACACTGGGTTTGATTCTTTTCAGGAGAATTGGGTACTGGTTCGCGTATTCTTGAAGAAAAGGGGCGCGAAAACCGGCGAAGAAGGCAACGTTAGGAAGCAGAGCATTAGCGAAGGCGTGGCATGTTTGAGGAAGACGAGGGTCGAACCGGTTTTCTATGATTTCTTGACTAGAGGAAAGGGTGGTTTGGACGCAGAGGTTGTTTCTACTTTGTCATCGTCGGACTCGAGCGGCGTGACAGAGGTTTCATGTGATGATAATAGAGCAGATGATCATGAAGAGAACAGCAGCAATTGCAATAATAATGGTTGTTTCACCACTTTTAGAAGACAACCTTAGAATAAAGATTTGAATTCATCCAATTCTCTCACATATATATGTTATAGTCATTTCATGTTGGCTAAATATAAATCATTTGTATTATTATCCTTAGGAGTTGTGCATTTTAGAATGGAACTCCAAATCTTAATATTTAATGTCTTTTCATTGATTTTTTTTAGCTTTTATTTTCTGAGAGACTTTTAAAATAACTTTCAATAACAACATGTTATGCCTTGAGGGACTCCATTAAGAATGTGTGAAGTCTGTTCCTTTGCAGTTGTTTGACCCTCCTCTTGGTTGTGTGTTCAAATGTGTTTTCATTTCAAGTCTTTTTTACTCCCTCTTTCCACTCGGATTATTTTCATTTGATTTTTCACATTATTCAATATAATATTTTGACTAATAATCTACACATCACATCCTACTTTTACCTATCACATCAAGTGTATTTTTGGAAAGTCAACACAAAATTATCTCTCCCTTAATTTCTACTTTTGTCAAAATGGGTAACACTTTATGAGACGGAGGGAGTATCTATTTGTACTAGATATATATTGTAAAAAATATAGTATTCTAAAACAATGCATCAAAATGAACTTATTGATATTAAAATTGTAACACAATTGATGTATATTTTTTGTAATTTGCATTCAAAGTTTAAAAACGATGACCATGAAAATCAAACTACTAAGGGTTAAAAAAGGGTTAAAATGGACGGAGGGGATATTTATTTTTTTAAAAGCAAGTTCTAATCATTCACTCATTATTATTACGGAGTATATTCTTTTTAAATGTTTTTCTTAATATTTATAGTCAGAGTAAAAAAAAGTTGGAACACATAAGTAGTTAAAAGAAGACAAGAATACTTCTGATAAAAGTTGGCCCTCCCAAAAAGATTAACTTGTCACCTCATCAGCTATCCCATATTGAATTTGAAATTGTCAAACTAAATTGCTCCAACCGTTCTAAATTTAGTGACTTCATAAGGATAAAAATGTTTGACCAAATTTCTTTTTTCCATTGTATTTATAAAATGAATGCTACAAATTTTAAAATTATATTTATATGTTAAAACTAAATCAAATTTTCAATAGAATAAGAGATGAAATAACTATATTATCTTAATAATTAATTAAAAAAATAAATAAATAAAAAGAAAATTTGATCGGGATTAGTAGAGTAGCACAATTAATTTTAAAACTCTCAAATGTCTTATAACTCTGAAATCAAAGGGAAAACTTAATTTTTTTAAAAAAAAGTCATGTCTCATTTTCTCATGCATTATAAATGTGAAAACCAAACATATACGGAATGTAAAGTGTAATCCTTTACTATAATATTTGAGACTCCGCTCACAGAATTACGACATATGGTGTGTCTATTTGTCATTTTTTTAACAAAGTCATTTTCTCTTCTTTGAGAAATTCTTTTCCCTGAAAAGTGATTTCCTACTACTTATGCCTTCCTACTACTTATGCCACTGAACAAATAAAAGTAGAATTACACTTTTTTGGAAAAGTATTATTTTCTCAACCAAACAGATTCTATGAGTTATTAGAATCCAAAAGAACAAAATTTTAAAAAAACATAAGAAGTATTATTGAATTAAACAAAAGTTCATTTAACCTAGTGCGGCATATGTTAAAATACTAGTTCTTCTACATAAACTACTTCTTCAATCCCAAATTAAATCACTTATTACGATTTACGATTTTTGAGTAAAGTTAACTTAAAAACTAGGATTAAATATTAGAAAATAAAAATTACATATTCGTACATCATAAGTTTTACAAAACAAGAGGTGATACGACTATATTATTTTGTCAAATAAGTAACAAAAATTGATAAAGAAAATAAATAAAGTTTGAAGATATGAATTGTGAATGGATAAATTGAATTTGAAGGGAGGGAGTTTATTGACATATGAGAATGGGCATAAGAAAAAAGTTGGCATTCTAACATGGTTGACATAAAATATATTACATCGGTCCCTACAAATATGTTTTGGATTTTTTGGTCAAATTTTATAAACTTAAAGTATCATTAAAAATAGGAATGAAAATTAAATATACAAAAAAATTGAAAAAGATAATTATGTGATATCATTAAAATTTTGTATGAAAGTATAAATTTATACATTAAAAGCGAATAGTGTAGAAAGGTTTGATTTCATTGATTGAATATGTGGGAGTACATCTCTATATATACACAAGGGCATGGGTGGCCCGGAGGGTGTGCAAAGTGGCCAACCGCACAGGGTCCCTAAAATTTTAGGGCCTCATATTTTTAAATTTGTTAATACTTTTAAAGGAAAATATTCTAAAAAAATAAATTAGGGCCCAAAATATAAATTTAGGACCGGGCCAATTTTATTTTTCCATTTTTCGGAGCCGGCCCTGCACAAGGGTTCCTAATCCTATACAAGGTAGGAGTCAATAATAGGAAACAATAAATTCCTAATCCTATACAAGGTAGGAGACAATAATAGGAAACAATATATTTACATTAAATATAGAATATATTTAACATGCTCCCGGCTACGTCGGATGAGGAGGGGGTCTGACTGGACTTGAACTCGAGGAAGAGTAGAGAAGGTAGTCCTTTGGTGAAGATGTCAACATACTGTGAAGAGGAGGGCACGTGAAGGACTCGGATATGGCCGAGTGCTACTTTGTCTCGCACAAAGTGTATGTCGACTTCAACGTGCTTAGTGCGCTGGTGCTGAACTGGGTTCGATGAGAGATAGACGGCGCTGACGTTGTCGCAGAAGACAAGGGTGGCGCGTCGTAGAGGTTGCTGGAGCTCAAGAAGAAGATTTCAGACCCAAGAAGTCTCAGCAACTGCATTTGCCACAGCCCGGTATTCTGCCTCTGCACTGGAACGGGAAGTGGTGGCCTGGCGTTTTGAAGACCAGGAGATTAGGTTGTCGCCCAGAAAAATACAGTACCCGGAAGTGGAACGTCTGGTGTCGGGACAGCCAGCCCAATCAGCATCAGAATAAGCCTGGAGATAGTCTATCGAGGAGCGAGTCAGGTAGATACCGTGGAGGCAGAGCTGCTGAACGGCATAAGTGATGTCAGGTCTGGTGAATGTGAGATACTGTAGAGCACCAACTATGGACCTGTAAAGAGAAGGATCTGGAAGTGCCGTGCCGGAAGAGGAAGAAAGCTTTGCCTTGGTGTCGACTGGAGTGGATATGGGGCGGCAGGAGACCATCCCTGCCCTCTCAAGGATCTCATGAGTGAACTGTGTCTGATGGAGGAAAAGGCCCTGAGCAGTGCGATGAACATTAATGCCGAGGAAGAAATGTAGATCACCCATGTCTGTCATGGCAAACTCAGCCTTGAGTTTCTGAATGAGACTCTGAAGAAGCCCTGGCG